ATATTTTTAAATTATATGGACTATCTTGAGTTATAATTTCAGATCATAATACCAAATTTACTAATCATTTCTGAAAATTACTATTTGAACAAATTGGAATTAAATTGGCTATGTTAACTGTATTTTATCCACAAACTGATGATTAAACTAAGAGAATAAATTATACTTTAAAAGAAATATTACAAATCTATTCCACTTATAATCAAGATTACTGGGATGAATATCTTGCTGCTACTAAATTCACATATAATAATTCAATTCAAGCTTCTTCTGGTCATATATCTTTTGAGTTAGACTGTAATCAATATCTAATTACACCTACAATACTTATTACAGATAATAAAGTCACTGCCACTAATAAATTCATTCAATATTGGAATAATATAATTAAAGATATTAAAGATTTATTAATGGAAGCACAGGATTATCAATCTAAATATGTTAATCAACATTATCATTATCAAGAATTTAAAATAGGAGATCAAGTCTTATTTTTAACTCATAGTATTATTGATCTTGTGAATAAATAATACTCTAATAAAAAGCTTATATCTAAATCTATTAGTCTCTTCTCTATTCTTGAAGTCATTTCACCTGTTACATATAAACTGAATTTATCTTTACATATGAAAATTCACCCTGTCTTTCATATTTTATTGTTAAAATTATATAATCTTAATGATGATGAAGATTTCATTTGTCCAATTCCATCACAATCAATTATCATATCTGGAACTGATGAAGAAGAATATGAGGTAGAAGTAATCTTGAATAAAAGAATCATTTGAAATAAATCTTAATACTTAGTTAAATAGCTAAATTATCCTCTTTATAATTCTATTTGAGAACCCTTAGAAAATCTTCATAATACTATGAAACTTGTAAAATCTTTTAAATCAAAATATCAATGAGAATATTAATTCTTAAAAGAGAAAGTATTGTAACAAAATTAGAATAATATTATATTTTATTTTGCAGATTATTACTGCACTATATACTATATCATATGTGATTTACTGCATCACAATTACCTGATTATGTCAAGAAAAGTCACATAGTATATTTGAACTATTTTAGCTATAGATAGTTTTCTTAGTAGAATTTTTCTTTTTTCTTATTCTACTAATTTAGCTAGTATATTACTAAATTTATATATTTTATTTATAATTATTTATTTCTTTATTTATTTATTAATAAGCATCTTCCAGAGGTACTACCATATAAGTATTATCTATTATTAATTTATTTATTTTATTATTAATTTTATATAACATTAATTTATTATTTAAAGATACTATATCTGTTCTATAATTTTAAGTACTGAAGTATCAAAGTATTAATAATATTAAATAAAGAATAAGTTTAAAACATAATCTCTTGTCTGCTTTTGATTTAGTTTTTTGTGTGAATTCTATTTCAAATAATATTACTTTATATCTTGAATTTTCTGTATGAATTTTCCTGATATAATATTATATCCCAACTTTTCTGTATGAATTATCTGAATATATTATACTACATAACTAGAAGATTATAATTATACTGTATGAAATAGTTCTTCTATCTTCTGCTAAGAATTTTTTTGATAAAAATTATAATAGTTGGATTTTGCAAAAAGATAATGATCTAAAATATTATTTAAAAATTGCAAAGATATAAAAAAAAGAAAATAATATTAAAGTTTTTCTTTAATAATCAATATTATCTGATCAAAATTCAATTAAAAATGTTTAGATTAAAAATGACTTCTCAATTGTTACAACATGATGATAAATAAAGTATCATCTAGTTACAACTAATTATAACTTATAAAATTTTGGAGTTGTAATATGTTATAATAGGTGACAAATAAGTATTACATACTTGCTACATTATCTTTAGTTTAGATACTTATAAAAATGAATCTGACAAAAAAAAATCAGAATATTTAGAGATTTAAAGGATAAAATAATACAGAAATAAAATTAATTATTTAAGAAATATATAGTTAATTTGATAAAAAATATAGAATATTACATAAAGATTTTAATTGAAGCTGAGAATAATTATATTATGTATTAATTTTCATATAATATCATATATTTTTAAATAAAAAGAAATTTTTTTTCTTATCATATCTTCATATCAAGTTAGGTGTGCAGGTAAATTTTTGTTAGTTATTATATATAGTTTAATTAAGAGATGAGATAAGAATTTTGAATTAGAAGAATTATTTTTTTTAATTATATTAATAAGTTTAATTATACTTTATATAAAGATTTAAAATTGATTAGTACTTATCTTAGTTATAATTTACTAACTAAAACTAGAATATATATATAAAGTATATATATAATATATAAGATATAATGAATAGTATTTGTAATAATCATATCTATTATTATCAAGTTATAAGATTATTTTATTAATATTTATAAATAAAATAAAATATAATATAAATAGTTTTAATTTATAAACTTATAAATTTATTATTTGATATTTAGATCTGAGATAAAAATATAAAATAAAGAGAACTTATTTATAAAGAAATAAATAAATATAAAATGTGAATAAATTGATAATAATTAATAATCTAAAATACATATAATTAATTGATAATAATTAATAATCTAAAATATATATAATTAAATAGAATTAATTATTTAATTTATATTTCTAAAGAGCAGCTAATCATAATTTAATAAGTTAATAATAATTATAAATATAACAAATAATAATATAAATAAATAATAAAAAGAATAAATAAAAATATAAAGAAAATATTTATTACAGCAAGTAATATAATACTTATTTATCATCTATTGTAATATATTACTATAACAAATAATAATATAAATAAATAATAAAAAGAATAAATAAAAATATAAAGAAAATATTTATTACAGCAAGTAATATAATACTTATTTATCATCTATTGTAATATATTACAACTTCAAAATTTTATAAGTCATAATTAGTTGCAACTAGATAATGCTTTATTTATCACTATGTTGTAATAGTTGCTATATTATCTTTAAATTATGACTATTTTTTCTAATAAATCTTTATTATTATAATTTTTTAAATTAGAATATATATTATATGAAATAATATATATATATAAGCTATAATAGGATAATTTTAAGCAGACAATTTCTTTATAACTATATTAAATTATTCTAATAATTTCATAATATTTCTCATTTGTTTTCATTTATCTAATATTAAATATAAATTATTTAATAAAGAATACTAAAAAATTAATATATCAAGATTAATCTTAAGAGTCTGAGCATGTTTTAATATATAAAAAGTTAAATCTCAATATATTTTTATATTAAGAATTGGCCAAAGAACTATTTTTTCATCCAAAAAATAATATCTTTCTAAATTTTCTAGATATATCTATATATAAGACTTGCAAATTACTTTTATAAATTGTCATACTTTTTAATCAATGCATCCACTTTATATAATTCATTCCAACTGCAAGATTCAATATATATTATATATAATGATAATTAGAAAATTCAACTGAAATATTATTTGGATTGAGTCTTTATTTTATTTGATGACATGCTAAAATTATGTTCGAACTATTATTCATAGTAATTGCAGCAATTTTCTGAGTCAAATCAAATTCTTCTAGAGTTTTATCATATAATTACAAATTGCTATATCTTCATGAGATCCTTGAAATTTGGTAATTTCTAGTGTAAAATGATATAAATACCAATTATTATCAACAAAATGAATTGTAATTGCTATAAAACTTTCCATTTTGTTCTAGCCCACATGTCTGTAGTTATTGAAACTTATCAGGAGTATTACTAATAATAGTATTAAGTTTAATTCATTATCTAGTAAATGTTTCTAAATTTTATTGTGTATGATTTGGCATTTTGGGATTGTAAATAGTGGATCAAGCTATTTAATAAATTACAAAACAAAATATTATCAACTACTGAAAAAGGTTGCATGCTTTGAATGATCCATTTAATTAAAAGAATTGCATGTTCTAATTGTTCTTTCTCAGGATGAGTTTTGGTTTGATTTTTTTTATTTAGTAAATTATACTTATATAAATGTTCTCATATGCTTGATGTACTGAAAATATAAATTTGCATGTTAGACAATAATGACGTTTGGGATCATCTTTATTAAAATTTCCGATATCTTCTATCTGAATTTTCAGTGGCTAGTTTCGTCACTTTCAAATTGTTCACTTTCATTAATATTTGTATCAGGTGATTCGTCAAATTTTATCTCTTCCATTTCAGCTAAATATTCTTCCAAAACATTTATTATCATCTTCATAATTATCAAAGAAAAATTCATTCATTTTTTTTAACTTATCATTATAACACATTTAGTTTATATAATTTATATTTAAATAATAACGATAACAATTACGATAAATAATTCGTTCGTGATGCAATAATTAATAATAATTATAATGATGAACATAATACAATAATAGCGATAGGCGATATTGACGTTAAGAATTATGCATAACGTGCATAAAAACTTAATATGATCGACCGAATCTAAAAAAAAAATCGACTTTTTTAGCCGAAATAGATAGAATCGTAACGGTAAGGTCTCCAACATAAACCAAGGATGGGTCAACGTAAAGCAAACAAGCAATGAATAAAATATAATATACATGGTGACATGGACATGTACTTAATTTACTGCAAAAAAATGTATTTATTCAAGAATATTTTCAATTTAGCCTGGCTATTCAAGTTTGAACTCTTACTATCATTATGGGGCTTATTATTACATTGGTACTCTCACATTCAACAATAACTTTCCCACGACTCTATCAATTCACATCCTCTACGGCACAATTTTTCATACGGAATTGATTGCACCTTAACGTTAACTGTTCTTTGGACTACCATTAAACCGAACCCAATGTCAGGATTTCCATGTACAAATTAATACAATGTCTGAAGTATTTATTAGAAGTGGCAATTTTGTCAATGGCTATAGATTAAGTTGCAACCGAACCGAAATTAATCAGATGTAAGTGCCCAAAAAATGCCCGCAAGAATCATGCAAACCAAAGCCAAAGCCGCACCACCAAACAAGTCTGCGGGTTTTCGTTCTTGCTGATACTTCGATTTTTCCATATCATCTCTTAGTTGTTTGATATCACTTTTGAATTTCTTCGTTAAATCGTCATACCGTTTAGTCGCGTCCTGAATAAGTTCTCTGCGTAAATCTTCAAACCTTTTATCCCTTCGTTCATTATCTTTCCGGTAAATGGCATTGAATTTGGCTTCTTCTTCGGCAGCTCTTAGCCGCATTTCGGTATGAACTTCTTTGAGAAAAGTATCATATTTATAATATCTTTTTTCCATTTCCTTACACCCCATACATGCTTCCCTTTCTCTGGAATCAATATGCTTCAGAAAACTTTCGAGATTATCACAGCGTAATTGCAGTTCGTCAATAACCACCCTCTGTTTGTGAATTCGTTGTTCGAGCATTTTTTGATTCTTTATGTAGAAGGATTGAATCTCTTTTGATTCATTTTCTTTTTGAAATTGAGTTTCTTTAAGCTGAAAATAATTTGCTTGAAACTGAAAAAAATTTGCTTCAATTTTCTGAAGATTTTCTTGTAACGTATCAATATGCGTGAAGGCCTCTTTAAATCTCTGTTCGTAATGCATTTTATCCTTCTCAACCGTCTTTTGTATTTGGGTGAGGTGGGACTCAACTTCATTGACATTGTCTTGGATTTCTTGGAACTTTGTTGATTTCAGTATCGAGTCATTAATTTTTTCATCTATAATCTTGCAAGTTGTTTCGCACTCTGCCCGTTGTTTATCAATGGCTCGTTTATTCAGTAGACCAGTTGCTTCTGTCTCTTTAAGACGAACGGCAAGACTTTGCAGGGATGACCTAAATTCTGTCAATTGATTTGACACGTTTTGATGTTGATTATAAACGTTCCTCGATAATTCATTGACCTTATCAATTTCTTCCATTTTCGTATAAATTTGATCATGAATCATTCGGTTAGTGTTCTTTTCTATTTCGAACAAAGTATGAATGTCATTGATATCCCTCCTAACGCTCTCAATTTCTAAATGAAACAACATCGAATCTGTTTGGTTTTCCGCCGCCGTAGTAACTTCCGTCGAAATGTCCGTTATATTTGATGTTACTTCTAGATAAACAGAATTTTTGTCAGGATTCCGTAGATTGTTCAGTTAACAAATTATTATAATATTACCATCATCACCATCGGAGCTTTCGCTATCACCACAGAATATTTGTTTTTCGGGCATTACTTCATGATTTTCCAAAGCTCTAACGATTTCCATGCCGAGAGAATCTTCATTATTGCAAGAGTCAGAGTCAGGGTCATAATTATCATCTTCGTGTAAATAAATTCATACAATCAGCAGAGAAAATGATTCGATTTAGACGATATGTAAATGCGTAAGCGGTGTCTTACCTTTATTTTCATAAGCGTCCGTTTTAGTAGCGGTAGTTTCTTCTTCAAGTGGGATTGGTTGATCAGCAACAATAATTGGCCTATGATTCGAATTGTCGTTATCGTCAAATTCTACTTTCCCCTTAAAATCGTCCTCGGCTTCATCATCTCCTAAATCGATGAGTAGGTCAGTTTGAGAATTCATAGCGATAGCATAATCCTGATTCTTGACATCTTCAATATTATCTAAGTTAATACTAGTTAAAGAAAAGATATTTAAATATACGTATTTGTGATCCAATTTACCGTTGCTATTAATGATTCCGTCGAAGAAACCTAGCAAATCTGTATAATTCTCCTTGTCATCCTCTTTTGGTATTTCTCCCTTTTCATATCCAGCCAAGAGAGTATCTTCATCTATATTTTTGATAATGAGAAATAGATACTAAATGGAATTATTCAATTAAATATAAAGTCAATTGTAGTATTTACCTTTATCATCAAAACACAACAAATTAATGTCGAAACTCTCATTTACATTCGTATCTTTAACAGCATATGGTCGATTTTCATTGTTATTATCATTCACTTCAACAATAAATGATGACGATAAATCTTTATTATTCACTTCTACAATATTTGATGATGAACGTTTATCATCAATTTCTTTTTCAATAATTGGCAACGACGACGATTCTTGTGTGGATGTAATTATCCCTCTTGTTTTGGGTTCTCGCGTAATGGTCGATTCATCTGGCTTGAATTCTTGTGTATCACTTTGAGTATCATTGTCATTTGGTACATCGAAAGCGGTCTTTGTTGTTTCCTCCATTTCGATCAAGTTAAAAATAAAAATATTAAGATGATGGGAAAATTTTTAAAACTTTGATTTATAAACATGATGATAATTTTCATTTAAAACGTTCCCGTGATGGTGTGTATTAAAAATTTTTCCTATGATGAATTGCCTATGCAATAATTTTTCGTATTTTTACAGAGTCTAGGCTGCTCTTGTGATATTGCATTTCTTATGTATGTTTACTGGCAGATATGTACAGTAGATGACGTGAAAAAATGTTCACTTTACTCGATGCTCATCACTATCCTCAATCAAGGATTGAGATACGATTACTGATCGGAAGTTTAATCTTTATTGTTTTGGGGCAGCCGCTAACAAATCTAGTTAATTGCATTTTCTTGGCTAATAAAGATCCATCGTGATTATATATCGATAGATAATTATTCGTATTTATAAGGGTATATCTCTTTACTTTACAAAAATAATCTCACGTGATAGATTATTATCTATTTTTTAAGCATGCAGAAATCAAAACAATGGTTTATTTTTAAAGAATGCTTCGTTCATTATATAAAATTCAAATTGAACTTATAAACATATTTTAAATTCGCGTTATATCTCGTTAATCATTTTTTGCACTTCTTCTTGATCTTCAACACTGTAAATAATCCTTGTGGGTGGCGCACGATGGGCCAAAATATATTCAGCGTTTGGCTTGTCATTATTTTCGAATCGTTGTGCAGCTTCTTCTTTGTGTTTAGCTAAAATCAAATGTTCAAATTCCTATCAAATCCAATTAAAAAATTTAAAATTATGAAGGAAGAGTTATTTTTTACCTATTCCACTCGCTAAATGTCTTAGAATAACACGATCCTTGGCAATTGGAATTTCCACGTCGATAAACCATAGTTCGTTCATATATTTTTGAATTTGATCCCATGGATGGGGTTCAGTCAAAAGAAGATACAGGCCCTCAAAGATCACGAGTTTATGGCTATATTATTAGTTGAGATAAAAACTGTGAGATATTATTATATGCACGTGAAATTTCCTTATTTTACCTTGGTAAAATAGAAATATCGTCTTTTATTGGATCCCCGATAGCATGCTCAAATGAAGGGGCTTTAACCACATTCGGGTTTTCGGGATCAATAGGTTGTCTCAATGTCTTCAATAATTCCAAAAGTCCTTAAATAATCGTTGTTAATCTCTTTTTCTAATTAAAAACCTGAAATATAGAAGCAAACCTTCGGCATCAAATGTCCAATAAGAGCCACGTCTAGCATGTGCTTGTTCCGCATCCTTTACCCCGCACAAAATTTATTTAAAGTCCGCAATAAAAAAATGTCTATAAATTTACAATAAACACGTGTATAGTTCTTGCCTCAAATGTATCTAAAACGTATTTTGGATAATGAAATCCATCCATTGGAATCATCGCCGATACGTTTTCCATTTTTTGATTTATTAGGGAAATAACTTTAAGCGCTAATGTAGATTTTCCCGATCCAGGAATTCCAGCGATACCCAGCAAAAAACGTTCATTTGGATCAAGACTTACGAAATATACGCAATACGTAAGTAAATAACGATTCAATATGAATAATCAACAGCTCATTTTTTTTATTAAATATGCTTAATGCGTACGATAAAATTTTTTCAACAAGATAGCTGGCAAGATAAGCGTATGTATTATCCATTTTTGAATAGAATGGGGAATTCTTTTACATGTACATGTAATAATAAAAAAAGGATGTTTGACAAACCATGTGACTAATTATTCTACTTATTACATGTACAATGCAGATCAAAGATTAGTTTTAACATGTAGTCCATTCGCCTGAATTTTTACATTTTCTCAAAATAGTTCCGTCACTGTAAACTATCTTGCGCACACAATTATCGTTTATGCATGTAAAGCTCATGCTTTGAACGTCTTTTTCATATTCTATACCTTCTCTATCCTTTTCTCTTTCCTTTTCCTTTCTCAGATGATGCTCTACATCGTCATCGCCGTCATCGCCGTCGCCGTCGCCGTCGTAATCTTCTCTGTATCGGTGGGGTGAACTTTAAAATAAAAAAAACATAATTTCATGTTATTACAAGAAACAATAAAATCATCAAAAATTTAAATATTTATTACCGCTTAAATTGATCGTTTGCTTCAACGCGGACCAAAATTACGAAAATTAATAATAAGAAACAAATGATAAGAAAGGTTTTTTTAGAAAGCATTGTTTGACAGATTTAGAAACTAGAATGACAAAGTAATATAAGCTTCTGATAATAAAGGATATTATCTATATTATCTGTTGTTTTATTTGCTCTTAGATGTCAATTTATTTGTACTGGCTTTCAACAGGCTCAGAATTTATAACCGTTGAAAAGAAGTGACGGAAGCAAAACTTTAAAGCTTTATTTATACAGATATTATTTACCAGACATGTGTAAAGTTGTGCTGCATTGTTCCTTAATTAAACGCTTGGCATTACTTAAACATTTTTTTAATTATTTAGTCATAGTTGCAGATTAAACTGCGACTTAAAAGATTAATGACGTTTTAATTGCGCGAATAATCCTTTTCAGGAGAAAATATTATGTACGTTATACATACATGTACATGAGATTAAACATTATATAAAAAATCCGCTGATGGAGGAGCTTGGGGAAATTTTAACGAGAAATTAAGAATATCGATATGCAAACTATATTGGAATTTGTGCAGATTGCATCTTTTTATGTACGCGCATACGTATTTCTTTAAAAAAGCTCTAAGACTATGCATAAACGAATACGATGTTACATGTATTTACTTAGAATTAATGAATTTAAGTCCATATTGCACATGTGTAATTGATTTTACAAAAAGTTGCATAATTATGAGTAACATCATGTCTTAAAAATTCATTAAGTTTCGAGACTATTATTATTCCTTGGATTAGTAATTCCTACTCGTATTCGTATCCTTTTTTTTAGAGAAAACTTTCTGAATATTGCTTTGATTGCTTCATGTATAATTCGTAGTAAGCTTGTGTTGAATAATATTTCATTAATAGAAATTTTATTTGCATTAACACATACACAAAGTTGGGAGTAATCCAGCAAAAACAATTCTGGTACATCTACGTAATTGGATTGGAACTCGTACAGATATGACAACGTTTTCGCATATTTCGTATTTTTATGTGCAAATTTTCTTATAAGGAATGGTATTTATTAAAGTGATCAAGTCAACTTATTGCGTAAAATTTCCTCAGGAAACAAGCATGAAAAAATATACACCTGACAAATGATCGTAATCAAAAACTATGCAGGATACTTTTAGAATTGTTTTTCTGAACATATATTTGATAATAAATCGATAACGATAATATCGATATAAACAAATAGACGTTCAATAATGAACCCAAAAAATATCGTATGCAAGTAGATGAAACACACCGTAAGGTTTAATTTCAAATTAATTTCTTTGGGATTTTTATCGATAAAGCCTAGGAACAGTTAAAAGTTCAAGTTTATTTATGGATTTAGCTATATATTGTCGCTCATGAGCGCTATTTTGAAAATTGTACTTTTAAAAACAGCATACGTGCATATGGTTTCAAAATAACGCCCATGGGCGTCCCGAAATAACGCGCATCCCATATATGTATTTTAACATCTGATTTTAGTGTGTTAGATAGGTATGCATTTTTATTAATGATATTGCCGCTACGATCTTTTTTAATTGGTCTTTTCTATTTATCTACTCTGGGGATTTTTTTTCAATCCGCAATGACGGCTGGTTGAAATACGGGCGTTATTTCGAAAATCAGGTTAGCAGAAAATCGACTCTTTGTCTCGAAATAACGCGTAGATGGGCAGTATTTTGTGACAATACGTAATTGAATATGAGACAAATCAAAGAATTTAACATTTGACCAATAAAAAAACCAGCAAAGAGAGAAAAACACTTCCCTAAAATAGACTTATAGTTGATCATGTTAGTTATCTCTATAATTATTGGGAAATGATACTAACAGAAAAGTGTAAATATGGCGCTTATGATTAAAAAAAAAGATTTAAATAACTGACCGTGTCGGTTACCAGCCAAGTTGTGAAAAGACAATCCCAAGAGTTCAATGTCTTTAATTAACAATGTTCGATGATTTCACATCATTCAGCATTTGCGTAAATTTTACTCTTTTTCTATTAAGTATTCTACAGTAGCTCACTTAAGAAATGGAACACGAAAAATTTTACGAAAAGAAATTCTAGTGACTCTAACATCGATTCAGAATACCTAGTTCCTATACTCATTTTAAAGCTAATAA